TGGGGGTTCGCTTCGTCCGTGCCCGCTCGCAGTTCACGGACTAACACATTATTCACGAGCCCTCAGGCACATCCCCATCCCTCTGATTGGTATCCCTCGTATCTCGGTGCCGGGGGGCGCCCATCCCGGGCAAGGCCGCGTTCGACAGTTGGTGCGGCACCGCGGACACCGTCATGGCCTTCGTGACGAAGAACGGCGCGACCATGTCTCGGAGCGGCGACGGCGACCTCGCCGGCCCGGCGGAGGCCCCCCGGGGCGGGCCCGTGGCCCACGGCGACCGGCATCGGGCCCGCGCCCCAGATCGGGGACCGCCCGTGGCGCGCGTCGGGGCCAGTCGCCGCTTGCAGGTCGTTGCCATGAGTCAGGGGCGGCGCGAGGGGGGATGCGCTCATGTCACCGAGCGCGTTCCACTGCTCGCAAAGTGCCTGCTCGCAAGCGTCCCCCAAATAGTTTTCTGTTCGATGCAGTGGTTCCTGTTTGCCTCGATGCAGTGGATCCAGGTCGTTCGCGAGCAGCTACGTTGCGAGTAGTGGAGCGCGATCGTCTACCATGGGGGGCGAGGAGGGGCAACGTCAGGGGTAGGTTGTCCTGCCCTGGGACGCTCTGCGAAGGCTCCGCCTCTGTGGGGGGTGCCCGGCTTGTCGCCAGCGGCCGCGGGAGAGCCGAGTGCTGACCCGAGAGCCAAGGGGCAGCGTCAGGGGGAGGGGCGGCTCAAGGGGTGGGGGGGGCATCCGCTCGCCATCGCCGCCATCGCCCATTCCTCGCCGATCGGGGCCTGGATGCCCCATGAGAGCGTTTCTTCCTTCGTTGAACCCGCAGCGTCCGTTACGGGGTCGCTCCCCCCCCCCTCCCTCCCCCGGTAGCGGTAGCGAGCGTACGAGCGCATCGCATCCCGTTGCTTGGCGTGGCTTCGCATAACTGTACAGTGCTTTGCATGCACTGCTTTGCATTGCTTTGCATAGCAGTGCATAGCTTTGCACAGCTTTGCATAGCTTGGCGCCACATAGACGGCACTAGACGGATTGCACTACCCAGATGGCGCCGCATACATTGCAAGCAATCATGGTTTGGGTTCCACGCTGGCTAACATTGGATAATAGTGCTAGTGTTGATTTATTGTAACCAGTACAGAGAATCCGAAGGAACCTCAGGACACTCCACTTCATGCCTCGAGGCACGGTTTCGTATACACATGTATGTATGTAGCTGGATATGATGAAGAACGGTACCTATATACATGCATGCGTATATACGTATATCGATAATTTCTTACACAAGTTGCGCATGCGAGCCCAGGCTCATACACACATGTACAGGATGTGTGTGTGTGTGTGGTGTAAGGTTTTTGTCATGTGTGTTGTGTGTTGTGTGTTGTGTGTTGTGTGCGCTAAGTGTGAGTTATGTGAGGGTCATGTGTTATGCGTGTTATGTGTGTCAGGTGTGTGTGTGTGTGTTGTGTGTATGTGTTTTGTGTGTGCGTGTTGCTTGTGTTGGGTGTGTTGGGTGTATGATGTGAGTGTGTGTTGTGTGTGTGTGTGCGATGATGTGTGTGTATGTGTGTTCTGTGTGTTGTAGGTGTTGTGTGTGTTCTGTGTGATTGTGTGTTGAAGGTGTTGCGTGTTCTCTGTGTGTTGTGTGTGTCTGTTGTGTGTGTATGTCTGTTCTGCGTGTCTTATGTGTTCTGCGTGTATTCTGCGCGCGCGTGTGTGTGTGTGTGTGTGTTTGTGTGTGTGTGTGAGTGTGTGGGTGGGTCATAGGTTGGGGCTCGGTTTCTAAGGCCTGTCTCAGGCGAAACTGCTTTTCTGATATGAAACATAATCGCGTTGAAATGGGGCTCGACTTTTAGAGGATGTCTCCAGCGACTCTGTGTGTGTACACACAGTCATTTAATTCCACTGTTTTTTTGAAAACTTTATGCTGAAGTGCTTTTATTCCAAAAGGCAATGCTTTTGGACCGTGACGTCGCAATCTGCTTGAGGAGTGTGTCCAGTTTTCGGATGTTTGAGGATGTCCCGAGCGAACCGGGAAAACAAGGAAATGTGGCTTCACAATTCATCGCTTCTAAGCTCTGCTCCCACGGAGAGGTAGGTATGATAACCTACATCTAGATGATTTTTACTCACATAAGTATCCATCTGTTTATATATCTGTAGACAGAGAGAGTGAGAGAGGGACAGAAAGGGAGAGATAGATCGGCAACACCCCAACATACTTATACTATATGTGCGTCGCCCCCCCAGGGGCGACGCGCGCACCGAGAAATCTTATAGTATATGCGTCGTGGCGGGCGCTTTCTGGCCACACCGCTCGGGAAACGATATACTACAAGATGGGTATACTACATGTTCGGGTCGGACGCGCGCCTCCAAGGAGGACATATAGTACTAGTATGTCTTTGTGCTTCCCAATAGAGACGGCGGCGGCGGTGGCCATAGAGTCACCGGCACTCCGAGGCCAACGAGGACAAGAAGCCCGGACGACAGGAGGACGTCCGCCGGGGGCGTGGGGATGGGGAGGGGTCAAAGGCATGCAGCTCGGCCCGTGTCTCTTTGGCTGGTGTTGGGGCCCCTGGCGGCGCTTCCGTGGGTCGGGACGCCCGGACAAGACGAGGGGCCTGCCAGCCACCACGACTCCCTGGAGATCCGCCAGTTGCTCGAGGGGGTCCGACCTGCCGCAGACCGTGTCCTCGTTCCTGTGCTTGGCTGTGTGTGCGTCTCTTGGCGCCCTGCTCTGCGGCCTCTCTGCCTCCTCCAGGGCCCACCTCCACTCGACCGATCCGAAGGGATGCCGAGCGCACCAGTCGGGCCGGGCGAAAGGGGGGGATTGGGAAAGGGGGGGGTACGAAATTTGCTGCATGCAGCTGGTTTCGGCCTCACCGAGGGGGCCATTCCTCGATACGTAGCCGCCCCCGGCGCCGGGAGGCGCCGGGAAAATCAGCTACGCGAGCTGATTCTCAAACCCCCCCTTTGCTATCCCCCCCGTTTCGCCCGACCCGAACCAGGCTCGAGCCGATTTTGACACCGCGGCGATCCGGTGCGGCCCGATGCTTGCGCAACGCAGTCGTGCATGTGTTCGGGCGCCGCCGATCCGATCTGATCTCGACTCCGCGCCGATGCTGGCCCGATCCAGCGCGCGTTCCGATCCGAGGCTGGCTGGTCCTGCCCTCCTCTCTGGGCAGCATGCAGATATTTATTTTTATATATATATATATATATACTCCAGATTTCGTGATAAAAGGGAGGGGGTCTGGACCCTCCAAGACAAGCCATTTCAGACCTCCCCCGTGGGAGAACCCTCCAAAACATCGTCCCCAGACCCCCCAGGCCCTCCAAGATAGCCTGGAAGAGACCCCCCCCGAAATGAGACCCCCCTCCCTCTATTACGAAATCTGGAGTATACTTTCGGATGTCAGCGCGGAGTTCTCGGAGCGCGCTGGGGGGCGGCGTCAGCGCCGGTCCAAGAGATGTGCGCGGGCCTCCGAGGGGCTGCAGTCGGCGTGCCGCCACGGGGAACGCCGAGCAGGGAGCGGAGGAGCCTCTCGGGCTGCGGCGGGCCTCGGCCACGACTGGGTCCCCCCGCCCCGCCCCGCCCAGATCTCGGGCACGAGAACCGGGGCCCCTCCCGAACCCCAAGGTGGCCCTTCTGTCCGCGTCTCGGCCGCCCGTTCCTGCTGCCCCCTTCTCTCTGCCGATATATATATATATATATATATATGTCCTTTTCCAAGCCGCCTCTCGGCTAGCTGCCATCATCTCTGAATAACCCAGTTCATGTCCACACCGCCTCCAAGAGGTATTCCGTGACATACGCATCTTGCCGTTGCAATGCCTATTCGCGCTGGAGACTTGTTCTATTCACCAACACTTTTTTTTGATCGCATCAGGCATACAACCTTTCCTTGACTGATTGGTGATAGTTTTTATTCATTGTTTTTGGTGATCGGCGCGGGCCCCAACCCCCCTCCTCCCCCCCCATGGAGTAGATTTTGTTTTTCTTAGGCGCCTGTTTCGAGCGGGTGGAGTCTCCCCCAGAGGCAGCACTCTTGCAAACAGTCGCACTAAGCAGAGGTCTGAAGCCAGACCCCCCCTCCCCACCCTTTCCGCCCAATGTCGAAACGCCGAATCAAAACAAAAAAACGCTCACTTGTTCTGCTGGCAAGGAAAGAAATGCCATGCCTCCTCTGGATTGGGCTGTTACCTTTTCCAACCTGGCTGCCAATGCTCTCCAATGCTCTGCCTGGCCAGAACTGCCGACCAGCACTGGGTACAGTGCAGTGAGCCTAGGGCGCTGTAGTCGCTACAGAGCCTAAAGGCTTTCAGTGTGCGCGGCAGACATTCCGTGACGATGCAGTGCGTTGACCGCTCGATCGAACGTTACGTTCACAAGTCGATCGCAGAATGCGCTTGCACTCCTCGCGCTCCTGGCAGCCTTTGGCCCGAGCCTTTGGCGCCCACGCCTTTGGCCCGGACGCTCCGCCCAGCGGGGCGGCCTGCGCGGCACAGGGCGGCCTGCGCCAAAAAGGGCGCCGCGCGGGGGGGCGGCCGGGGCGGCAGGCGGCCCATGGCCCAAGGCGGCCCGCGCGAGCCGGGTGCGGCTCACGTCGGGCACGGCCTTCTGCAGGAGGAATGTTCCCAGAGATCCAACGTGTTGGAAAAATGCGACGGAGGTTTTCCGCAGCTTTCGGCCTCGATAGGGGCCCTCACCGGGCCTCGGGACTGTCAAGAAATAAACTCAGGATGAAATACCAGGGACCCTGTACTGAAAAAAGCACGACGTCGGATCTCTGGGTTCAAAAATAATCAAACATTGGTACGGGATGGTTTTTGCAGTAGCTTTGATTTTTATTGTCCCAACCCTTTCCCTGGGACCGGCTTTTCATCCGGAGTCGTTTTTTGACGGTCCCGAGGCCCGGCGAGGGCCCCCCGAGGCCGGCAATGGCCCAAAACCTCCCGCCCTGATGTCTATGTATCTCACGACGCGATCCTGCCTGGGGACCTAAGGTGCGGCCCAGCAGCCCGCCAGCTCACCGCCCGCGCAGGGCCGCGCCCCAGAGGCCGCGGCGGTGGCCGCGGCGGCGGCCCCCAGCGCGGTGGCCCCCGGCAGGCCGCCGCAGGAGCGCGCCCAGGTGCCGCCCCCGGGCGCGCTGCGGTGGCAGCGGGCCTGCCAGGAGGGCGAGGAGCTGTGGCCTGCGTCGTCGTCGTCGTCGTCGTCGTCGTCGTCGTCGTCGTCGTCGTCGTCGTCCCGCTGTTCGGCAGCAGATCATTGGTGTCCTCTGGAGTGCATTGGCGTGCGCCAGCCTCTTGGTAAGCGATGAGGAGGCGCTCCCCGGCGTGCTGCGGTGGCAGCGCGCTTGCCGGGAGGGCGATGAGCTGTGGCTTGTGTCGTTCGGCAGCAAAGCGTCGAGCCTCATCCTCCTTCTCTATTCTTATCACCTCCTCCTGCTCGTCGCCGTCGCCCCCCTCCTTCCCTCCACTCTTCTTGCTCCTGCTCCTGCTCCTCCTCATGCCCTTCCTCCTCCTCCTCCTCCTCCTCCTCGCCCCACTCTTCTTCCCGTTCGGCAGCAAATCCCCCGACGCCCTCGCGTTGTAAAACAATCACGACGGGAGGTTTTTCGCGACTTTCGGCCTCCGGGGGCCCTCGCCGGGCCTCGGGACCGTCAAAAAACGACTCAGGATGAAAAGCTGGTCCCGGGGAAAGGGTCGGGACTTCCAGGGACCCCGTATAGAAAAGTTCAGGACGTCGCATGTTTGGGAAAGGTGCCCATGTCGCTACCGTTCCCTCGTTCGGTGATTAGAGGAGGAAGAGGTGCCCATACCGTTACCCTTCCCTCGTTTTCCCCTTTTGGGGCTTTCTGGGAGTCCCTCGTCGCCACCGCTGGACTCGCCTCGAAGTTCTGGTCAAAACGGGCCCTGGGAGGTCCAGGGAGCTGTAGCGGTACCGGTAGCAAAGCGGAAAAATCGTGACTGCAAGTTTTCCGCTGTTTTCGGCCCGTCACAAAACGATTCAGGATGAACAATCTGTCCCCCGGAAAGGCTCCAGACTCCTGAGGGTCAGGCCATGAACAAAAATCATGACGTCGGGGGTCTGGGGCATTAGTGTCCGTTGGAGTGCACTAGCGTGTGCCAGCCTTTGATAGTCGATAAGGGGGCGCCGATGTGGCGTCGATTATTTAGCGTCGGCTAGCGTCGATTGGCGTCGATGTAGCGTCGAGGAGCGCCGATTCGCAGGGGCAGACAAGATGGTATAGTGTGCTCCCATGGGTTGCTGCAGGACTCTTGGGAGCCCTTTAGTGCAGACGCGGCCGCAAGAAACCTTCTCGAGAAGCCCAACACTGACAGTCCGCGCACCAGGTGCAGATCGGGAGGGAACTCAGGACACCCCGAATGCAGCAGCTTCTTAACGGCCGCGGGAAGTCGCCGCGCGGCGCGCGCAGCGAAGAAACCAAAGGCACCCAGACGAAACGCAACTGGTTTCTTGATGCGCGTCCTCACTGCACCCTGCGGGTCCACCTCATCAGCATCGTCTGACTTATCCCCATCCCCTGTGAGCCATGGATGGTATCTCAGCCCCGCCAGCCCCCCTCATTTGGGGATAGGTCCTACGAAGCCCGAAGAGGACAGTATATGTCCCCATTGGGTGTGGTGATAAATCGGCCAGTGGGGCCAAGGTCACGCCGGTGGGAATGGGGATCTGTTCAACGATGCTCAACTCGACGCTGGGGTATCGGACACCCCGCTTGGGTCCATCTGGCCGCAGCCATCCTTCGAACTCTCCGAACCCTTGCCGGCGTTTCGGACATCTGACCTGCAGGGCTCGGGTTCACATGAGCGACGCAGAAAAGTGGGTTCGGCTGTGGCGACATTCGCCGTTGAGCTGCTCGCGCAAGGTGGCGCGTGAGCGACCCCCTTCCAGTGTGCCGCGCTGGCGGCCCGCATGAGGTGCGGCGCAAGTTGGGTCGCTGTGCCATCCCGCGTGAGATGTGCTGTCTTCGCCGCTCCACGCGTGGCTGCCTGGAGGAGACGGAGGAGCAGGGCGCCGTGCGGGAGGCGGCCGGCGAGGCGCACCGGCCCGCGGGGGCCCTCGGCGACCCGCGGCCTCGCGACCCCTGGGCGGAGGCCGAGCCAGCGCCAGCGGCCGCGGGCCACCACGGGCCGACGGGCACCGAGGCCGAGGAGGCGGCGGAGGCCCGAGGAGGAGGCGGAGGAGGCGGAGGAGGAGGAGGAGGCGGAGGTGGGCCCCGTCCTCTCACAGGTGGGGATGGCGTTGATACGCCTCCTGCGAAGTGGCGGTCGGCACTGAGGACTCTGGGCGCCCTGGGTACGCGCCTAGGAGGAGGCCCGGGCACACGCAAGTGTGGCCCTCCGCCGGGGTGACCTCTGGCCCGCGGCCTTCGGGGTGACCTTTGGCCCGTGACCTTTGTCCTCCTGGGGTCGGCGGAGAGGCGCAAGCCACTTGAATGATGAGTCGAAGCACAGGAGGAGGATAGAGGCCTCCCAGATGGGGTCGGAGTTGATGGGGTCGGAACATCGCGCCGCATCGCCGATGCATCGCCGGTGCGGCTCGATTTGGAGCCCGTTTTGCTTCACGTCGGCGTCGTCGATGCACCGCCAACGTCGACGATGCATCGCCGATGCATCGCCGATGCATCGCCGATGGATCGGTGATGCATCGGCGATCTGGCGCGATCCTCCGACCCCATCTACTCGGACCCCATCTAGGATGCCTCTAGGCACGGGGGGGAGGCAAGCCCAGGGCACACGGGCCGCTACTGTCGCATCCCGCGCAGCGATCGGGCGACTGCTTCCCACTGCGACGCGGCATTTCGAGGCTGGCCTCTGGTGCGGTTTGCACGTCTCATGCTGCGCCCGTCATCGGCAACCCGATCAGGGGAGCGTCTGAACAGAAATTCAGGGCACGCGGGTCGGTATTGCATGCATCGATTGGCAGGCGGCGCACCAGAGGGCACTCTTTGCCAGGGCCACTCAGACACCCGACGAGGCGGTTTTGTATGTCTCGGCCGCTTCCCCCCACCCTGGGCTACAAGAGCGGCCGCCAGGGGCCGAAGTGGAGGAAACACGCCAGGGCTGAACACGTTATTCTGCTCCGAGCGATCCCCGCCCGAGAACGCGAGGCGGGATACCTAGGGCACCAGGACCCTCGGGGGGGCTGGCGTGGAGGGTTTCTCCGAAGGGCTTGGGCGACCCGTCCTCCTCCTCCTCCTCCTCCTCCTCCTCCTCCCTCCTCCTCCTCCTCCTCCTCCTCCCTCCCTCCTCCTCCCTCCTCCTCCTCCTCCTCCTCCCTCCTCCTCCTCCTCCTCCTCCCTCCTCCTCCTCCTCCTCCTCCTCCTCCTCCTCCTCCGCCTCCTCCTCCTTCTCCTCCTCCTCCTCCTCCTCCTCCGCGGGTCGCCTACGGCCCCGGGGGAGGCCGTGAAGGCCGGCGGCCGCGGTGTGCAGCCGCCCATAGGTCGACGGCGCGAGGCGGGGTGCCCAGGGAACGCAGGGCATTCTCCAGGCCTGGCGGCCGCAGCCTGCAGCGGGTGCCGGGCGTGCCGGGAGCTCTCTGGGTCTGAGTCTGCCAGCCCTTGCGCTCGACTGGTCGTAAGAGTCACGGGCTCCCACGAGGGCGCGAGGTTATTCGCGCTTCGCGGTCCTCGTTCCTGCTCCCCTTCCTCCTCGTGCTCCTTATTTACCTTTGGGGGGCGGCGCGAGAGCGCGAAGTTATTCGCGCTTCGCGCTTCGCGGAGCGCGAAGCGCGAAGTTGGGAGCCCTAGAAGAGTGACCTTGCGCCGGAGTGACCTTTGGTGCGGGCCCAATGGGGTCCCCCGACAGCCGAACGCGATGCGGCAGTAGCGTCTTGTGCGCGTGTGTTCGGTCCCCCCGCGGCCCCCCAGAATCCGCGCACCAAAGGTCAGTCTTACCCAGGGTCACTCTTGCGTGTAGCCGATACGCGAAGGGTGGGGCGTGGCAGATTTCAAGAAACGAGCTGCACCCGTCGTCGTCGTCGTCGTCGTCGTCGTCGTCGTCGGCGTCGTCGTCGGCTGTCTGGGCGTCTGGGCGTGCGTGCCGCCGAGGCGGATGAGGAAGAGGACTGGGTCCACCTCGCCGCGGGCGGCGCTGGCGACCCCGGCGCACGCCGCGCTGCGCAGGGCGAGCCGGCGGCCGCGCACGCCGAGCGCGCGGCGCAGCACCAGCAGCGCGCCGCCCCGCCGCCGCCGGCGCCCGCGGCTCCGCCTGGGGCTCCGGGGACGGCTCACCCGCCGCCGGGCGGCGCCACCCAGCACGACGCGCACCGGCACCGAGGGAGAACGCGCGGCGTGGGCGTCCGCTCTCCGAGGTCCGCGCGGGCTGTTTGGCTCGGCGCCGGGGCCAGCCCTCCCTTGCGGCGCCTCCAGTCGACATCGTCTTCTCCGATCCCCGCCCCCCCCAGGTGGTGAGGGGCAGGCCCCGCGAGACCAGAAGGGAGCAGTGCATTTCCACACCTGGGTGGGCAAGTCGCCCAGTGGGGCCGAGGCCACGCCAGTGGGGACAGGGATCGGCGAAGCGATGCTTCGCCAGCGCCGACGCGCGGAGTCCGCGCGGGCCTCCGAGAGCCCTTGCTCGTGCCGCTCCTTCCTCTCCTCGGGGGGCCGCCCGCCGTCGCGCCGCGGCTCGCCCCGCCGCCGCCGCCGCCCGCGGCTCCGCCGGGCCTGTGGGCGGCTCCCCGCGAGGACGGCCCCGCGCAGCGCCAGCAGCACGCCGCCGCAGTCCACCGGGCGGCGCCGCCGCCGCCGGAGTGGTGCTACCTCTTCCTGTGCAGCCACGCCACGCAGCACACGTGCCAGTCGCTGCGGCTCCTGGCCTCCCCGGGCTGGGAGCTGGCCGCCATGCGGCGCATCATCCGGCCAGGCTGCCAGCTCTTCCTGCTGAACTACGAGAGCCGCCACGTCTTCGGCCCCCTGGCTGCCCGGGGCACGCCGGACCTGGAGATCGTGCCGGAGGCCTTCGGCGGCAGGTTTGAGGCCCAGGTCCTCTTCGAGGCCCCCGAGCACGGCTACCGGCCGCGCGGCATGACGCGCGGGTGGGTCTCCAGCGGCCCGAAGACGGCCTGGGAGATGCAGCGGCTGATCTCGAGCCTGCTGCCGGCAGGGGGCTGCGACGACGAGGGTGATCGGGTTGACCCAAAAGGGAGTCAGCGACAAGGGGGTGGTGCAATAGATTTGGTGCAATCGATTCGTGGGGTTGCAGTACATCTGGGGCGTGCAATCAATCTCCGGGGCGCAGATGTATCGCTGTACTTTTCCGTGCCGTGCGCTGCTTGCAACACGACGCAATCCACAGCTCCCCGGCGCGATACGTCTGCAGCGCGCCTGCCCCACTTCTCCTGCACCACCTCCTCTCAGCTGGGCCCCCTGTTGGCTCACCCAGAGGCGAGTGGGCGGAGCTGCGGCAGAGCGGCGTGGAGGCCGCCCGTGCCGCCGCCGGCCTGGCCGCCACACCCGGCGCCCGCGCGCGCGGCGGCCCCGCGGGCGGGGGCGACGTGCTGTCGCGGAGCCGCGCCGCTCCGGAGGGGGGCGCCGCCCCGAAGGCGGAGGAGGATTGGCTCGTCGTCGGGGAGGCGAGCCCCGAGAAGCCCGTAGACGCCGAGGGCACCGAGCGGCCGAGGCTTGGCGCAACGCTCAGCGTGTGATGCCGCCAGCGTGCCTTCGGCCTCTGTGAATAGAAACCGCCGTTGTGTGAATACAGATTGTAAATAGGGCGCATAGGGCCCCCCTTGGCCAATGCGGCCAATGCCAGTCCAATTCGGCGTGGCTTCGACGCAGATCCTCACAAAGAGTGAGGTGGCAAAACGCGCTTTCATCCTCCTCAACCTGCGCTTTCGTGACGGTTTTCATTTCGGGCTCGCGCTTGGTTGCCCGGGTTTTGATTTGGAATCTCCATGTCTTTGTTCACCCACTTGCGAAACTCATAGTTTGGTTTGATTGGCTTGACGAGAGCTTGCGTACATCATCAGAGTGAGGGGGCCGAACAGTCTTACACTGTCCCTTGGTGCGTGGCTGAAGTGGGTTCCCGCGGTGCGGATTGTTGTAGTAGTAGTAGTAGTAGTAGTAGTAGTAGTAGTAGTAGTAGTAGTCGTAGTAGTAGTAGTAGTAGTAGTAGTAGTAGTAGTAGTAGTAGTAGTAGTAGTAGTAGTAGTAGTAGTAGTAGTAGTAGTAGTAGTAGTAGTAGTAGTAGTAGTAGTAGTAGTAGTAGTAGTAGTAGTAGTAGTAGTAGTAGTAGTAGTAGTAGTAGTAGTAGTAGTAGTAGTAGTAGTAGTAGTTAGTAGTGTTGTTGTTGTTGTTGTTGTTGTTGTTGTTGTTGAACATTATTTATTCTAAAGAATAATTATTGTTGGGCCCCCTGGTGCGCGCCCCCCCTGCGCCGCCTAGGCCGCAGCTACATTTTCATCATTTTCGTGAGGAAGCCTCAGGTAAAACGATGTGATCCAGATCCGGTTGTTTTGTTGTAATCCGTTTTCCCTTGCAAAAAACACTATAAAATGACATTTCTTGTTCTAATATAATCAAATTTCAAGAATCCCTTGCAAAAAATAAGGTAAAGTGGACATTCGCGCGCGCAAGACGAAATCCTTCCAAAACCTTAGTTTTCGTAGCGATTTTAACATAAAAACATCAAAAAACCAATGGTTTTTTTTCAAAAAAAAATTGTCAAAATTTCATCCCGCGCGCTCTTGCGGATTCGTAGGAAACCCAACACTTTTTAAACATTTCTGTCAAACGGGCTTTTGCGAGCAACTTTTTCGAACTTCTGCAACAACGGTTGCGCACCTGCCAGGGCCATCATCCCTGTCAAATAATACCATGCGGGACACATTCGTTTTTTCTTCGCGCGCGCACGCCGTCGTCGTCGGCCGCGGGGCCCTGAATAGTAGCCACGGTCGTCCGCATGCCACGAAGTGAAGTGTCCGAACGTCATAGGGCGGGAAGCTGGGTGTGGGTGGTGGCGAAGAGTCGTTTGGAAATTTGGTAGAGCTTGAACCGGCCCCCCCACAAAGTGGGGGTATTGCCCGCCTCCTATGAAAACCCTGGCACTGGTGAGAACGGAGTGTCCCCACGTGCTAGTAATTGTTGTTGTTGTTGTTGTTGTTGTTGTTGTTGTTGTTGTTGTTGTTGAACATTATTTATTCTAAAGAATAATTATTGTTGGGCCCCCTGGTGCGCGACCCCCTCGCCGCGCCTAGGCCGCAGCCTCATTTTCATAATTTTCGTGAGGAAGTCTCAGGCAAAACGGGGGAGACCGGATCCGGTTGTTTTGTTCCCCCCCGCTTTCCCTTGCAAAAAATAAGCTAAAGTGGACATTTCTTGTTCTAACATAACCAAACTTCAAGAATCCCTTGCAAAAAATAAGGTAAAGTGGACATTCGCGCGCGCAAGACGAAATCCTTCCAAAACCTTAGTTTTCGTAGCGATTTTAACATAAAAACATCAAAAAACCAATGGTTTTTCAAAAAAAATTGTCAAAATTTCATCCCGCGCGCTCTTGCGGATTCGTAGGAAACCCAACACTTTTTAAACATTTCTGTCAAACGGGCTTTTGCGAGCAACTTTTTCGAACTTCTGCAACAACGGTTGCGCACCTGCCAGGGCCATCATCCCTGTCAAATAATACCATGCGGGACACATTCGTTTTTTCTTCGCGCGCGCACGCCGTCGTCGTCGGCCGCGGGGCCCTGAATAGTAGCCACGGTCGTCCGCATGCCACGAAGTGAAGTGTCCGAACGTCATAGGGCGGGAAGCTGGGTGTGGGTGGTGGCGAAGAGTCGTTTGGAAATTTGGTAGAGCTTGAACCGGCCCCCCCACAAAGTGGGGGTATTGCCCGCCTCCTATGAAAACCCTGGCACTGGTGAGAACGGAGTGTCCCCACGTGCTAGTAATTGTTGTTGTTGTTGTTGATGATGATGATTATGATGATGATGATGATGATGATGCTGATGATGATGATGATGATGCTGATGATGATGATGATGATGATGTTGTTGTTGTTGTTGTAGTAATATTGTTATGGCTTGTTTTGTTTTGCTGTCGTCGTTCCACCCCGCGACCCACCCGCAACCACCCCGCGACCCACCTGGGAACCCACCCGCGACCCACCCGCGAGCCACCCGCGACCCACCCCGCGACCCACCCCGCGAACCATTCGGGACCCACCCGCGACCCATCCTCGAACCAGACGCGATCCACCCGCGACCCACCCACGACCCACCCCGCGACCCACTCCGCGACCCACCTGCGACCCTCCTTGCGACCCACCCCGCGACCCACCCCGCGACCCACCCCGCGACCCACCCGCTACACACCCGCGACCACCCCGCGACCCACCCGCGACCCATCCCGGACCCACCCCGCGACCCACTCCGCGACCACCCCGCGATCCTCCCGCGACCCACCTCGCGACCCACCCCACACCCACCCCGCGACCGACCCGCGATCCACCGCGACCCACCCGCGACCCAACCTGCGACCCACCCGCGACCCACCCCGCGACCCACCCCGACTCTTTCCGCGACCCACCCGCGACCCACCGACCCACCCCGCGGCTCACCCCACGACCCACCCGTGACTCACCCCGCGACCCACCCGCGACCCACCCGCGACCCATTATTCTCGGGCCAGACGAAAGGGGGGGATAGGGAAAGGAGGGGTTACGAAATCTGCTGCATGCAGCTGGTTTCGGCCCCACCGAGGGGCCCATTCCTCGATACATGGCCGCCTCCAGCGCCGGGAGGCGCCGGGAACATCAGCTACGCGAGCTGATTCTCGAACCCCCCTTTACTACCCCCCCCGTTCACCCCGCGACCCACCTGCACCCACCTGCGACCCACCCGCGACCCACCCGGCGACCCACTCCGCGACCCACCCCCGACTCGCCCAGCGATCCTCCCGCGACCCACCCGCGACCCTCCTTGCGACCCGCCCCGCAACCCACTCCGCGACCCACCCCGCGACCCACCCGCTACACACCCCGCGACCCACCCCGCGACCCACCCCGCGACCCACCCAGCGACGCACCCGCGACCCACCAGCGACCCACCCGCGACCCATCCCGTGACGTATTCGCGACCCACCCGCGATCCACCTGCGACCCACCTCGCGATCCACCCCATGACCCACCCGCGACCCATCCCGTGACGTACTCGCGACCCACTCGTGACCCTCCTTGCGACCCACCCGCGACCCAGCCTGCGAACACGTTCAATAACTATACATGTATCATCGCATTTTGTATATATATATATATAGTGTGTGTGTGTGTGTGTGTGGTTGTCTTTGCACAGACGCATGGTTCATGTGTGTATATCTATATGCATGACTAGTACATATTTAGATTTGTACTTACACTGCGCACCTATAAACATATAGGCGTGTGTTTGTGTATATGTTATGCAGATGTAGACATACATATGTATACACGTGTATATATATATATATATATATATATATATGTAGGTGTTCACATGCTTATCTGTTTATGTTTGTGTACATGCACACGTACATGTTTATGCATAATTCGATTTATGCATATACATGCGTATCTATGCATATGCATTAGTATTTGTGTATACATATATGTTGCATATGTGTGTATACGTATGTGTATATGTATTATTTAATCGCTTTGCTCATTCCGCCGACCCTGGAGCGCTCTTTGGGGCCTCTTGGGGCCCTCTTGGGGGTCTCTTGGGGCTCCTTGGCGGCGTCTTGGGGGCCCCTGGGGCCTCTTGGGGGGCTCTTGGGGGCCTCTTGGGGCGGGAGGGGGAGGTAGTCGATTGCGGCTCCCCCCTCGGAGGCCACGATCCTCGTGACGTGTGTCGAGAAATTGCCTTTCCCGGGGCGTTCTGGGGGGATCGCCCGGGAGAGGGCAGGGAGTGGCCCGGGATTGGACCCGGGACCTAGCCGGGGTACTTCTCGTCAGGGGGCCCCCAGGGGCCGCCCCGCGCGCGAGAAGTAGAAATATGGTTGACCAGTTTCTGGAGATCTTAGCAAGCCTCTGTCCCGTTGGGCCAGCGAATCTGTATATTCATATGTATATGCATATGCACATGTAGATCCACATCTTTTCCTATCTGTACATATAAGTATATATACGTATACGTCTGTGTATATGTACATGTGTATGTAAATGCACTCGCGCGTGCAACTTTACATGTGTATAACTATGCATGTGCCGATGCATATGTATGTGCTTATGCTTATGTGAATATATAGATGCATGCATGCATGCATGCATGCATGCATGCATGCATGCATGCATGTATGTATGTATGTATGTATGTATGTATGGAAGTAGCGTATGAAATGTATGTCTGTCTGCCTGCCTGCCTGCCTGTCTGTCTGTCTGTCTGTCTGTCTGTCTGTATGTATGTATGTATGTATGTATGTATGTATGTATGTATATATGCATGTATGTATGCATGTATGTATGCATGCATGCATGCATATATATATATATATGTGTATGTATGCATGTACGTATGTTTATATATACAAACATATATATATATATACACGCATGTATACGCACACACACATATATATACGCGTATATGTGTGTCAAGATGCATGTATGCATATCTGTAGTCATATATATATATATATATATACATATTCATGAAAGAGCGCGTTCTGTGGT